AGATGTTTAGGCATCATCCCTGTGCCACTTGCTTGGGCCATAGGGGAAAATTAAAACTGTCATGTTCGTTGGGTGACCCTTCTATTGTATGTTTATTTGTTTTTGCATTTGTTCTGTACGGTATGCTTTAGGATAGACGGAACCTTTTCACGAGCCATTACAGATGTTGTTCTTAAGCAACAGATCGGAAACAATCGAGCTTTGTTTTTTGCTAGATCCTTGCTCCTTAACTCACATTCGTCCCTCCTCTGCAATCATCCATTCAGATGCCCTCCACACTCACCATAATATCAAAATAATTCGAAAACAAGGTTGTTATAGAATGTTAGAATGTCATATATCTCGTCAGGGCTACATACTGTGACTTGTATTAAGGTGAGGAATAGGATAACTAATAAAGAGGTGCCAAATTCACTAGATAATTTTAGGCATTAGGCGGATCATCATGGTGTGCATCTGTTAAACAGTTGAGTTAATTCGTTTTCGCCCGTCAGTTTATCTCAAAGCAGGTGACTGTCGAAAGTGATTGTACTTTTCCGCTTTCAGTGATCAATTCCGAGAAAGTTGAATTGTTCTGCGACTTGCTGGAAATAACTCTTCCTTTAAGAGACCCCCTTGTTGCCTGTGGCTCAATTCAAGACTGTACAGTATCTGATAGAACGAAACAGAACAATGAATAGAAATTCAAGGCATTGTAGCCTCTTATTATACTTTCTCATCTGCACTCTTGTTCACAGTCCTATGTTGCGAAGTTCTCCATGACCTCATGTAATCCTTATTCCTCGCTCCTCCTATAGTCCTCTTATCCCACCTGCCTCTGAGCTTGCGTAGGTAGAGGTGAGATTGTCAATGCGTGCATGCCACCAGGCTGTGGTCCTGCGTTATATTAATCAGAACATATAATTATTAGTTTTTGTCCACCACATCACAAAGAGGAAGATTACAAGTTTACGTAACTGACTGTTCCTGGAAGAACCAATTTATTTGAATCATACACCTTTTTTATAATATACGAAGACAATATCAGACTCTTTCCTGCTGATCTTCGTATTTCAAAACCGAAGATCGCTAGCCATATGCTGTATTTGTAGATTCAATAGATATATCTCTCTATAGACCCTGAATGGCCAATCTTGCTAAATTAGGAAAACCGGGCATTTCTATTGCTTCTAACCGATGTGAGCCTACAACACACGGCAATCAAGATTAAGCGGACCATCTCCAATTGCTTGTAAATCTTTGAAAGTCAGGAAGATAATGAACAAAAGATCAAATTCTATTTGTGTCGCTAGAGATCGAAATATACTTTATTGAGTGTTGACTTTTAAGGGGATCGAGGTCGGTCGTGTAGAAAAGAGAATACAATCGAACTCAAAAAGAAGTACAACAGTAGATTACCTATAAGCCTGGCCTTTCTGTCGACACGAAATGCCAACACGATAGTTAGAAGCCATGAAATAGAACCTTTATGCACATATTCGACAACAGTAATTAACCGATAGACATGGCTTTGATCAGAAAGGAGGTTTTGAAAATACATCCTGAATTGTATTTTTCTGAATCATTCACGTGTTCATCATAACGTTTGCAGCAAAATGTGTAAAACCTTATATCACGTTTATTAATTGAAAAGTCTGTATATTGTGGTATATTTGAATGGTCCATTAGGCTTTAGCAATTATGATTGAAAGTTATAAGTCATTGTAAGCAAGCCCAGTACTAAATTCCGGTTACATAGATTCTACCTAAGCCATTCGGCTTTTCAGACATCAGCTTTATATTGGCTAAATTCCTAGCAATATAACTCTGGACATAAAGGCTATCGAGGTAAGCTTAGTGGTTTGGCTTGTTGGCCAAACATAACAAGCAATTTGAAGCTATCACCGAAAAGTTTCAACGCGGAATCGGCGACGCGAACTCAATAGATCAATTGTGACTTCATGCCTTGTGTCACATAGCACTAGTCCGCTTTATCTTTATGTGCTATGTCCTTGATGCTTTAGTGTAAGTTTGAAATAAAAAACCTGGATAATAATCTCGAACATTGCCAAGTAGACTTTTGGGATATAGCCTAAGGACATTCTACATTTTTCTTGTGATTCAATTCACGAAAAATCTATTAGAGGTGAAACAGAGATAAAACCTTCTAACAGGTCAACTCAAACATATGCATTGAAAACTCGAATGTTTTATCACTTATTACAAGGGGACTGCGCATGGGTTGCAAGATTTTTTCCTTTTAACATGCCATTTAAACGGGTGTGGTATGTGCAATTAGTGTCTGTATTCCATATGATATATAAACCCCAGTAGAGGCTGCGCATTCTCCATGGTTCGACTGGAGCATCTCCTGGTCTCCTTCTAGTAGCCCCCGGATTAAATCTGACCCTCAGTAGTACTTGTGTGTCCGGCCTTTGCAACTCCCCCGCCTTCCTCTCTCTCCAGGGACACACTACAGCAAGCATGTCAGTCCCCAACCTCTCCGGTCCCTCTGGGAAGATCCATTCACGCTCAGAGGGATGCCGGCTGCAGGCCATCGAAGGGGTTAGTAGTAACCACTAAGCACCGTAAACACTGTAGCTTTACACTCCGTGAACACATCCAGGGGCCACAGCAGCGTGCTGGCTGTGTACACTATCTGGTTCAAGTGATGTCACAGGGGGCAGTGGATTTAAGCAGGTTTTAGTTTGACGCTAATCCCCTTGTGGCAAACGCTGTGGAGGAAAGGACTGTCCCTGCCAATGGTGTGCATCAACCCCATTGGATTAGTGCATCTAGTCCCCTCCTCCATTCTGTTGGCATTGTCCAGCATGTGTTTTTACCCCAATTTCTTTACCCTCGCTCTTAGTTTGGAATGTAAGCGTCATGCCCAGCACAAGCATGATCACTGCTGTAGAATGGAGTAGATCCTCGCCCTAAAGGTGTGTTTTATGCTGTCTGCATGTGTGTGTGTGTACTCTTTCTATGTGTTTGTCATGTTCTGCCTCTCTCCTCATGGATTTCTAATGTTTCCAGGGCTGAATTATTTAGATAGGCTGCCAGCAGGGAGCTACATGATAGCACAGACTTAAGAGTAAGGGGAGGGGGCAGCTACAGCTGTAGATCAGGTAAAAGGGTACCTCATGCTTCACCTTTTTTCCTCTCCTCTCCACTCCTGTCTTTTGATTGGGGGTGAGTGTAACTGGAGACTTGTGAAACACAATACCCGGCTCTATTTTCAGCTTTTATAGCTGTCCGCATTATTGTCTTCACTGATGCCTAACTCAAGTGAGCAGTCGCATTTTGGTGGCTCTGTGGGCCAGTGTGGTCCTGAGTGGACTGAAGGCCAGAACGACAGGTCTGCAAGCCGCTGTCACTACTGTGGCACCATTGCGGGGCGTAGGAATTCTTTGTCACTGGATGGGGGAGACGGTGGAGTGTGGTTTCACCATCAACTAGATCTTGGTAAGAAACAGGATCCAGTCCTCCAGCCTTTCCTATACAGGCAGATCCCGCAGGACCGGCATGTACAGCAGCTACTAAGGAAGACCTCTGTGCCTGATCTAAGCAGCAGCCTCTACCTCAGGCAAGTTATGGCAGGCCGGGCCTCTGCACCACCACAGGATTACTACCTGGCTGATGCTACCTTATCTGCTCAGCCACTTGAAGAGTCTGGGTTTTATAGGGATAACCAGGACCTGCTCACCAGATCAGCCTTGCATTATGGGCCCAGCATTGGGGGGGTGAGGCCTACCTGGGATCAAGGACAGGCAAGGGCCACACCTTCCGGGCTGGCCTCTGCTTCTACACCTAACCCCGCGCCTCCTCCTCCTCCACCTCCTCCGCCACCTCCTCCGCCACCTCCTCCCCCTCCCGTTCATGAGCTGAGCCGTTTGTACAGGGAAACTCTGGGATCTAAGATGATCCCAGACGTCCAGCGTATTGGTGGCAGCTCTCTTTCTCCTGCAGTCTACGGGGTTCATCCCCCTATTTACGCTGCTGAGCCACATTCTCTTTCTGCGCGCCAAGCTTATAACAATTTTAACAGCTTTCCTCTGGACCCTCGCCAGCCAGCTGCCACCAGTTCAGTGGTGGATCCAGCTTCTCAGGGAATGGACGGAGCTCTCCCTCGAGCCTATGGAGCTATACCCTCCCAGAGGCTGCCTTATGACCCAAACTATGACCCCAGCTCTGCCATGGTGGCTGCCACAGCTGGAATGACCTCCAACCTACCTCCTCATCATCCCAGTGCTGCAGACCCCAAGAAGATGGTGGACCCTGCCTTCTTGGCTTTCTTGCGATCTGAAGGCTTGGCTGAGAGCACTATCACTCTCCTGCTGCAACATGGATTTGATTCCACTGGCACGCTGGGAATGATGGAGGACCATGATGTCCGCTCCGTGGCCCCTAACTTGGCCCAGGCCCGGGTTCTGTCACGTGTGGTGCTTGGTTGTAAGGGAAGCGGGCCGTTAACACGTACGCGATCCAACAGCTTCAGCCACCGCAACGACCTATACATGCAGCCCCAGGGTTTGACCATGGACCCCAGCCTGATGCAGCAACCTCCCACCACCTATCAGACCGTTTCCCCCAGGATGGGAGAGTTTCTTGGTAGAAGACCCAGCAGCGCACCTTCTCAACACCTCCTGGAGACCACCACCTACCCAGGAGCACGGCCCCTGGCAACTGGAACTTTCCCAGTCAGCCCTGGAGGATATAGCAATGCTACGACTCAAGGAAGACCTCTTTCCCTGTACAATGCCCACTCTGGTCTTGCCATGTCTGCTCTTGGACAACAGCCTCTACCAGCTCCAGGCACCCCTGGAGCAGCGCCCAAAACATTCTCTGGCTCTTATTCCCCAATGGAACTGATGAAGAGGGCCCCCAACCTCCCCCCAGCGTCGCCAGTAGGAGCACCAAGCCCCATGCACAGCCCCCAACTTCTCCGGAAAGGGATCAATGCTGCTGCCGAGAGTACCATTGTTCCCGTCACTTCTTCTTCCACTCTTCAAGTGCAAAACCTTAACAACAGCAAGATGGTTGGACGTCGTACTGGTCCACCTGTCATAGTCTCAACCATGACTACCACACCTGACACAAGTAATGTCCAACTTCACCTTTCTCACTTATCTCTTTAAAGCCCCCTCTCCTCTGTCCTCGTTGTTGATTTTTATATTTTTTTCTGTAGGTAATAATTTAGTTTTTCTTATTGTGTTTTATCATAGATTAGATGCATAGTGAGATTTAATTCTTTATATGATAGATTCTTGGCGTACTACAAAAAGAAAATAAGACTGACAGTCTTTTTGAATGAAGGAGTAGCATGTAAGATGCTTCTGACAAGTTAAGCAGCTTTGCTCTGAGAGGTCTTTTTTTAAATTATGCAACTATTTATACATGTATTGCAACAGAGTTGTGTCATTTGCCTGAGGGGATCCTGTCTCATCACCAAGATGAAATATTCCTTATGAACAGCACTCCAGTTATTAAGGCCAACACTTTGCTGTCTTTTTCTTTTACTTTGTTTAATGGTCAGAATAATTTTAAAGCAACAGTGTGCTTTGAGTTGTTTTGTAGCACCACCATGGTTTTTTAAGGTTTCTTGTACATGATTTGTTCACTTGTTGTGGTGGAAATTTAAAAAAATAGGCATTGGTGTGCACTAACCCTAACCCTAAGACAATTTGGCAAAAATCACTTTTAAATACAGGATAATGTTTACTAGTTTTTCTCTTAATGTACTCCTACCTCAGATATCCTAGGCAGATATCCTAATAAATATCCAAAACACATAAACATCCAGCTTGTGTTTAGTATGTAAAAGTTTATTTACTTGATGCAGAGTTGCTGTCATTCTATCTTAGACTGTACTCTCTCCTAATCAGGGACTTAACTGCCTCAAATCCAATTACACTAATTGGATGTATAGTTGTGTGGACTATAATAGGTATCTGCTTTTCTAGACCTCCTGTTTTCTGTTTGAAATTCTGGTTGCGTTGTAGTACTGTTCAAATTTTTCATTTATTTTTTGTGTGCTACACTTACAAACTCATCACATCGTTCTAACCTCAGACAGCAGGTATTTGGAGAGGAAATTTGCTCTCTACCCACTCAAACTGAAAAGTTATTTGAAAATAAATGTCTTAGCTCTTTGCTGTTTTCACTAACTTGCCAACATTCATGTCTTAAATGCCAATTCTTAATTTACATTTTTAGAGTGACAGTAATGAAAGAAATGTTTCGCTTTTGAAGGTCTTGCAAACGAAGACCAAACTTGCCTTATTGTTTGTTTTCTAAAATGATGTTTTCTTTTTAACCACATATTCCTGTGAATATGTTTATTGTTCATCTTCATTGGCTTTACATAACTCATAATTATGTAGATACTTTTGTTGAACTTGTCTCATACAAGGTTAATACAAGTAGTGTGGTAGCTTTTTACGCCCAGTTTACAATGAGAGTGAATTCCCCAAAGCATTATCTCATTTTATTTTTATACATAAAGGCCTTGGTTTCTCCCCTTCACAGGTTGATGGATTTCTCTGTTGATGAGAGCTGATGAGCTTAGGGAAGAATTAAATCCTTTAACCTTGCTGTTAGCCATGTAACCCTGTATCTTGCCTGCCTCTCCAGTAGGTCTGTGGGCTGCTGCACTTGTTAAAAAGTAATGACTTTTATGAAGTGGCTTTCCTTCATGTGTTGTCAACGAAATGAGAAGTAGGGTACGAGATCCAGACGAGCGGGAAGGAGTTGTGGGGGAGGTATTGGTGGAAAGTACCTTTTCAAGCTTCACGCAGATATACACTGTTTTCCAAGGTCACAGTGGCAGCAACCCCACACACCCCCAACTACACTTTCAGCACAACAAACTCATTTGCATGTAGCTGACATTTGTTGCTTCAGTAACTTCATCTGATAATGGGCAGCCCTTTTCGCCGATCGGAAAACATACTTCTTAATTGTGTGTTGCTAGGCAACCTAGGTTTCAGTGGTGATCAGACATAGATAATCTTCACATTTAAGGAAAGGGAAAAAGTGGAGCCCTGCGTGCAGTGTTGCACATTTATTTTGTGCACTTGTTACTCTTTTTTGAGCAGCCATTTGCAGTTTAGGGCAGGAGGAAATTGAGTGAAAAAATAAGATGTTGCAGGGCACTTAATGAAAACATTTCTCTTAGTCTCTTTCCCTCTTCTCTCTCTCTGTCTCTCTACCTCTCTCTGTCTCTCTCTTTCTCTCTCTCTCTCAGCAATGTACATCTCAAGAGATTGCTTTTCATTTTTGTGCAAAGGGCTCTACCAGTGAAGAGCCTCTCTTATTACATGCATGGTGTTTTATGTTCAAACATGCATATTGATGAAAAGTTGACACATTATTCCTTTTGCACCTACTGAATAAATTGGTTGTTCTTCCAATACAAACCAGTCTTGTCTTTATCATCTTACATCAAAGTGTAAATTTACACATAGCCGAATCATCCACATTTCCATAAAGTTGAATTCTTATCTATTCTCAAAGCTGAGTTTTGAAAGCAAAGATGTGAGAAGCAGTGAAATCAGTAGCTCCCTTAAAATATTTATGTAAAAGGTGCAGGTGGGAGGGCCCTGCCTGTGTACTCCTCTCTGCTGGGCGCTGTCTTGGTTGGCTAAAGCCGTAAGTAGTGTTAATAATGGCATTAAACGGTTGAGTCGAGCTTAGTTGCAACAGTTCCCTTCCACCCAAAGTAGGGAGCGCGCCTTGCAGTTGGCCATGGAGTTGTCTGTCAGTGGCATCCCACAGAGCAGCACAGGTGGGTAAACCTAACTTCATTGTCACGTGAAGCAGAATAGCCAACCCGCTAGCTAGTGATGTGATTAGCTAGTAGCCTGCATTGTGTGCGTGCTCAGTAGATTAACTAAGGTGGACCCTTACATGTTGTCCATAAATGCCAGCACGTGGTTTCCTTGTGGAGATAATCCACAGAACATCTTCAGCTGTACTTTTCTGGGCTGGAGAATTAGGAGGCGGTGTGTTTGAGGGCAGGGCTTGTAGCTTACAGGAAGGAGAGAGAGACCAGAACTTGGCAACAGCCCCCTGTAGACATATGGGATATGTCAGTTGACGTGTTCACCTGTATAAGTCTGTTCTGTTGGTTCCACTGTGCCCAGGTTGTATTCGCTCCTTCCTGGGAGGTTGTCAAAACATGGCAGGTCCCTTTTTTTCCTTTTTGACAGGAAGCCATCACTGTTGCGGCTGACAGTTATGTAACCTTCCGGTGCATGGCTCCCATGGGGGCTTGAATGGGATTTTAATTTCCCTGCCTGTATTTGGAAGGACATCCACGAGGATGCATGCCTAATGTACTCTCGGCTGTCCTTGGCTAAACTGCTTTGTTCAGGTGTCTGACATTGATTTCATTCTGCACTCCTGCCTGTTTTTCACTGGCTATTCAGGAAGAAAGCATTCCCTATGTGTCAGTGTGGCCTTAAACTTTGTTTCTGGACATGCCTGTATATCTGTGTGTGTTTTGGGGAAAAAGTACTGTCTCTCTTCCTGTGCTGCCACTCTGCTCTTTCATTGAACGAGGGTGCTTTGATTGTGTGCTTATGTTGCCTCAAATGCATAACTCCAAAGTGCTTGTGATATATAGACGTGTGTGCGTTTGTGCACGACACACTGCACAATGGTGCTGCCCCCCACTATCCTGCCACACATATACACAGACCACAGATGTCCCTTTCTCAGCAGCAGGAAGTGTTTGTCTTCATCTGAGGCCGCCTTGATGTGACAACAGGACACGAGGACAAGACCTTAAGTTTCCTCTATCTGTCTCTTTCTTCCTTTGACCAGCACTATTTACTGTGCATTTACAGTATAGTGCAGTCAGAATGTGTCAGGACAATGGTATAGAACAACTGTCATTGTTAGTGTTTCTAGCACATTGGATTTGTGTAATAACCATTTTTATACATATTGCACCACTTTTAGATCAATGCAGCAGGACAATGATCCTAAGCATACAAACAATGCAGAATTTTTATAGAAAGAGTCCAATAACTGACCTTAAGGGTCAGTCACCTGACCTCAATCCAGGTCAGTGGGTCATTGTTTTTTATTAACCATTTACTGCTAATTGAATAATAATTTTAATGACTTTAAATGTACTATCTTAAGCCGAGTTACTTTTTGTCCCCTGAAATTGAGTGACTGCAGTTTTTATCTGATGTGGATATAAACACCCTAATATAAAAGCTGAAAGTGCAATTCTCAGTGCAGATGCTAACCTGACTGCACCGGATGGTTTGCTACACAGTAAAACACACAAAACAAACTATATAACACAGTCAAATTCTTATCAAAGGGGTTTGGGTTAGGGGCTCTTATTGTGAAGGGGCTAATGGCTTACGTTACCTGTCTAGGAATAGGCTGAGAATTAGAGTGAGGAAATCCTACTGACCATCTGTGTGCATTTGTTTGTGTGTGTGTATGTATGAGTGCTAGCATAGATAATGTGTGTATGTGCGCTTGTGTGTGTGGATGCTACTATACAGGCATCACGTGTCAGTGGGAGTTTGTGTCATCCTCACTAATCCCTCTGATATGAATGAGTGGAGACAGACAAGAGGTTTCAGCTCACATGGCATCGGTCAGGGGTTATTAGAGGGAATGTATCTATGTAGTAATCAGACCAACCCAGCTCTTGTATTAATGCTACAGCACCACATGCTTGCATTGATGTACTGTATCTATTTAAACCATGCCTATTTAAACAAGGACAATGTCGTCATAGAGTAACAGTGATGCATTTTGTCGACGTGTTGGCTCAGTCTCCAGAACGCTTGATTTGAAGTGAAACAGTGAGGTTAAGTGCTGACTTTCAGCTTTAGTTTGAGAGCGTTTCAACCTACCTGATGCATTCTAGGAATTGTAACCCCTTTGTGTACATTGCTTCCTAGTGTTAGGGTACAGAACTAATCAGACAAGTAAAAGAAAATGAAGAAAGTAGTCCCAGATTTGGCATCTGAAGTCTGTGAGCCACAGATATGGGGCCACAGGGATTTGTTTTGAGGGCTTTTTGCCTTCAATGCGTGACTGTTTTGGTCTCTCAAGCACACTCCACTGTT